GAGTAGTAGAAGAATCGTGTGACATGGAAGAGGAGACTTGGCCAGGCCCATTCAGAAGGAGCCTAGTGGCCTCCATAGAGCCTTAACCTGTTTCAGTACCCTTGGGAGGGCTGAATGTGTGTTCCAGAAACCCTGCCAATATGTAAACTCCCCTGAGCACCCCTTTTGTCTTTGAGCAAACAAGTCAAGGGCCCAGGAAATGACCTGGCCCTTGCTCTAGGTTTCCTGATTTGTAAGGGGTGGTGGGTAGCAGAAAACCCAATGATAATGGGTAGAGACTAGTATAGTGGAAAAGTCCTGTCATGGGCTTCCTGCCCCAAAGTGGCACCTTCTAGACAAGAGTCCTTCAGCCTGGGTCCCTGTGAAGATGGGAATATGAGGGATGTCCCTGGCTGCAGCTTCACCCCAGCCCATACTCCCAATACGCCCACTGTCTGTGGGCTTGGGACTGTCCAGGCTGCCTGATAGTAAGTTTAGTGTTGGCTTTGAGATGAAGAGGGCAGAATACTTTCTCTAACCAGGCTGCTCTGCCTGTGAGCCAGTAGATTCTGGGTGGCTAACTCATAAGAACCTGGTCTGACTCAATTCCCAGGAAAGGGGCAGATAGGTTGTTCTGGGATGCTGCTTAGCACTTGGGAGACAGATGCAGCAGCTTTGGCTCAAAAGTGCTGGTGGTCACAGAAAAACCAGTGCCTCTTCTGAGCTCACCCCTATCATCTTCCCCTGGGAAGCCCCCAGACTGCGCTGTTCACAACCTTGAAGACCCACTGAAGACACTGGTCCCATATTACAGACAGGACTGTGTGGGGAGTTATTCAAGGTTAAACAATTACTTGGAGTTAGGACCTGAGTGTACAATATACTGAAAATGCCAGGAAAGACCATCCTCAGCATGTTTTCAGGGACACATGCCTCAATCCCTAGGCTTAGCATCAAGGGCCCAGGAAATGACCTGGCCCTTGCTCTCCTGGTCTCAGGAAGGTCTGCTTAGCATTTTGCTCACTGTCCTGAACTTAAGTAAGGGTCTCAGAGAAAAGGAAAACCTTCAGAATAGGAAGAAGAAAAGTCACAAAGACCTCTGGCCTCTGCATTGCCCTACCTCCTCTGGTGAATAGGGATTATCTGCTGTTTGGCCTGGCAGACTTTTGCTCCCTAGAATTCCTGGCAGATCCCTGTAAGCCCCATATGGGGCTGTCTGCTCAATAGTTCTGAGCTAGAGAGAGGGTGGAAGAAAGGAAGGGAGAGGAAAAGAGGCATAAGAATCTGCCTTCCTTCCTGTTTTTCCCCTGGGACACTCAGCCCCATTGTCCCCAGCTTTGGTGAAGATGACCCCTGAGATGGGGTAAAGTTGGGTGTGGCCAGGAGCAAGTTGCGAGGCAGATTAGAGCGTGGGTGGATCAGCTATAAATCTTGGTACTGGCTCTACATTCCCCCCCCCCCGCAGAGTTGTCTGTCAGCGGCTCTGGGCCAGAGCCCGCAGGTTCTCAGGAGGTGGCGCTAGAGGACTAAGCAGCCAGCGGTGGGCGAACTGGAGAGGCGGGCCATAGGCGGGGTTAAGAGCGCTGCGGGCGTAGGCAAAGTGAGCTGGGAGAGACCGACTGTGCGCAGAGTTAAAACTTTCTGCTGAGGATAGGGCGGAACCTGCGGAGAGCAGAGTTCAGACTGCTGGAGACCAAGTAAAAGCCTGAGAGCGGCGGGGCTTTGTGGGACTGTGGCCGAGCCGAGCCTGCGTGGAGGCCCGCCTTCTTTCCACCTCTGTTACACGGTGTCCGAGAGTTTCCGAGCTGGGGTTCGGAACGCGTCATTCACAGTTCTAAAAAGGAAGCCAGCAGGAAAAAGACTACCTGGTTTTCGGATGGCTTTCTCTCCTGGGGCCCCAAACAGTAAACCTTGAAAGTTCGGATATATGTAGTTGGGAACCAGTAAGAATCTGTCCTTGGCCGGGCGCAGTGGTGCACCACTGTAACCCGCGACTGGGGAGGCTGAGGCAGAAAGATCGAGGCCAGATTCAGCAACTTACCAAGACCCAGGCTAAAAAAAAATAAAAAATAAAAAATGCGGGCTGAGGGGCTGGGGATGTAGCTCAGAGGTAAAGCTACCCCAGGTGCCATCTCCAGGGTTGGGGCTTGTAGGGGCGGGGGAGGCTCACCTTAGCTTTTGCCTGTATTCTGGCTTCACGCCTCCAGCGCCCAGCATGAGACCTGCGCCTCTTGAATTCTGCTTCTAACCCAAAAGGTTCTAAGGCTAAAAGTGGGCATTAACCTAATAGGGTACTGTGAGATCTGGATGGTGCCAGTGCAGTTGGGGTTCCCCTACTGTGCCTCTCGGGGAGAACATGTCACTAGAAACAAATGGGGATGGGGCACCTAGCTGGGACTAACAATTTCCTTGGGTGGATCCTTGAATCCAGGACACCTTGAAGCCCCAGGGAATACCTTTACCAAAACTTACCTCCCTGGGGCTGGGGTTGTGGCTCAGTGGTAGAGTGCTCACCTAGCATGCATGAGACACTGAGTTCAATCCTCAGCACCAAATAAAAATAAAATAAAGATTGTGTCCACCTAAAACAAAACAAAACAAAAAAAACTTGTCTCCACAGCTCCAGACACACATTGAGACAGCAGGAAATGTCCTGTTGGAAGCTGGCCAGGGCTCCTAAGGCCAGGGATAAGGGCTATTGTTTTCTTTTCTTTTTTCTTTTTTTGTTTTTTGTTTTTGGTACTGGGGATTGAAGTCAGGGATATCCAACCACTGAGCCACATCCTCAGCCCTATTTTGTGTTTTATTTAGAGACAGGGTCTCACTGAGTTGCTTAGCGCTTTCTAGTTGCTGAGGCTGACTTTGAACTTATGATTCTCCTTTCTCAGACTCCCAAGCTGCTGGGATTACAGGCATGCGCCACCATGCTTGCTTATTTTCTATCTTAATGGCAGCACAGTATCAGGATGAAGAGGAAAAAGCCCAAGTTTGGAGTCTGCCAGAATACTCGGGAACTCAGGCCAGGTCAACTCCCTTTTCAAGAAATTGAACCCACTGATACAGGACCACTCCCTACTTAGGACTTGTATGACAAAAACGTAGAAAGGGCCTGGCTTCCCCTCAGGATAGCAGGAAAGCGGGAGGAGGGACTTTGAGGGTGACAACAGCATATCTTTGGGCATGCCTAGAGGAGAGGACCAGCTTATTCCTGGATGAACTCACAGTCAGAGAACACCATCCTAATTGGGCTAAGCAAGAAGTTGGGCATAGGGGATGCTGAAGGCAATGTAGTCCTGTGTTTGAGAGCATGTGGTGTGGTGGTGGTGAGCTCTGCTTTCCTTTACACTTTCAATGCAGTGTCTTGATTAGAGTACAAATGAAAAGCTAAGGAGGCACTTGTCTGGGACTCTGTCTTGGGTCACAGGCAGCATATTAGCTCATTCTTGGAACTGTAGCCTTGTCAGAGGCTCAGAATCAAGCAGGGATAGAAAAGGGACATAACCCATTCTGTGAGCCTCAAGAAGATCCCTTGGAACAGAGCTGAGAAGTGGGGGTGACCTAATTTGCATTAGCAATGATGGTGGTGGTGATGGGGAGGACAGCTCAGCGGAACACTTGGCCTTTCTTTTTTTTCTTTTTTAATATTTTTAGTTTTATATTGACACAATACCTTAGTTTATTTTTGTGTAGTTCTGAGGATCAAACCCAGTGCCTTACACATGCTAGGCAAGTGCTATACCACTGAACTGCAACCCTAGCCCCTTTCTGCTCTTTTGATAGGAGATAAAGTATGTCCTTTGCTCAGCCTTACTAGGAATTCTCAGTCTGCACTGTCAGCTCTTGGCAGAAAGACTGCCTTCCCAGAAAGCTGATGTCCACACCACACTTCCCAGATGGAGAGGTTATTAATATAGAAATAGCAGTGGTAACCCAGATGTTGCTACCCAACTGATACCCCCACCTATCCTAGAATCTGGGGGAGCCAGGGAGGCTTTTCCTCAGATAACCCTGATGCTGAGTACAACTTTAGCTCTCATAACCTGACCTGGTGATGCTGTGGCCACACCCACCAATGTAGGGAGGGGGTTCAGGGTCTGGTAGACAAAGGCTAGACTTGGAGATCACAGGTTTAGTAAGATGAATAGATTCAACTGTCTTGATTCCTGCTGTATCTTTGGGATCTACCACAGTACTGTCCTCAACCTAGGGCTCAAAAAGTGTAAGTCAAATTTAACTAAATTGAAATTATCCTGGCAGAGGCCTGGGGACTTTTCTACTTGTCACAAAGGTTTGGCTTCACTACCAGAGACTTAACCCCTGCCCCATCTGTCCTTTCTTGAAAGGCAGGAGCTGTCTGGACACTCAGTAAAGATAACAGAGCAAACAAGACCTACTACAATCCATTCTGATTAGGACATAGATGGAACTTAGTGGAGAAAATGGCTATGTCGAAATGGCCTGAGATCTCTGGTGGTAAATACCGGGGTAATTTTCAGTAATGCCCTTAGGTTTGTAGTAAGAGATCCACAGAGAGGTCAGGAGGTAGGGAAACTTCTAAAGATTTTCCTGAAGATGCATGTAGTAAGCCTGATGGAGGGGCCACCAAGCTCCTCTCCCTGAACTGTCATGTCTTATCTTTTGTTGCCTGGGGTAGGACATGTGACTGGTCAAGAAAGGACACATGGACGTGATTTTCATCTGGGCCTGTACTCTCCCATCCATGGAACAGAGATCCGTGGGAACTGGTGCAGAGTTGTGGGGAGGGGGGATCCTAGTGCAGAGTTGTGTGTGGGGGAGTCACAATAGAAATTTGGGTGGAATTTTCTATAGTTAGAAATTATTTGAATGCCTGTCTCTGTTTCTGTAAACAGAGGTCCTCAAGGGCAGGTTCCACAGGCTTCTCTGGGCATTGGCTTAAGGAGGATGAATGTGTGCAGGCATGAGTGAGATCAGCAGAGCCATCCCAAAATGCCTCTCTGGGGGAGTACAGAGGGGCAAGAAAAACAGCATGTTTTGACTTGTATGCTTACAACTTGGAGAAACCATAGTTTCATTTATTTTTTCTTGTCATAACAAGCCTTCAGAAATGTGTAACTCTAATAGCAATGGGCTTAATTAGCCTTGTTGGGAGCAATGCATGAGTGGTAGGGCAGTAAACATTTCTGATGAGGTTTGCCTGTTTTTTTTAAATTTAACATAATGTAAGTAAAGACTTGTACATTGCAACAGGAAAGGAATTATCAAGTAAATTCTGTACCTTCTAGCCTTATTCCTTTTTCCTGCTCTATCAAGAACTATGGCCAGTTTAAGACAATAGTATACAAAGTGAGGTTGTTCAGGCCAGCCCAGGTGGCTCCTGAGAAAGACAAACAAAGATCAGATGTGTTGTTCATGCCCTCATGCCAGCCTTAGGCTTGCTTGGGGAGCTGTCTGATTCCCCCATGTTAGTGGGTGGTACCAACAAACTTTAGCCAGGAGGGAAACCTCTGCTTCTTTGGGCTTACTTCATTTCTCTTCAGTTTTATTTCTTCCTCCCAAAAGAGGTCTGGGGGCATGGAACCAATTTCTTGAGTTGCTTCTCATCTGGCAGTGAGATAGACCTCAGCATCATGATAGCAAAAAGAGTTCAGACAGCCCTGTAGATAGGAACCAGCTTTCCCAGCTTCCCTGGAATGGTCCAAAGCATAGACAATGTCATCTGGAACTGTCCTCAGCCATCCTTCCTATTCTCAACCACCTTCTATCTTCTATTTTTCCTTGAAAAGTTTGTCATTCTTCTTCACTCCCATAGACATCTTCATATTTGAATCCTGAATCTCCCTGTGGCAGCTGCCATGCTGAAAGCATCAGCCCAGGGTGAACTGGATTGTGGAGGAAACAGGAAAGATTGGGTTTGAGCTCTGTCCGTCCTCCCCTTCCTCTACATGTCACCTAAGATCCTGCTATCTCCTTATTTTCCCAAGACTTGCCTTCCAGTGACTAAAATAATCAGGCCTTTTCCTACCTGGGTAGATTTTTTAATGATTCTATTTTTTCCCTCTGGTCTTTTATAAGTGTTTGAGAGCAATACTGGTGAAGCTTGTAGATACATAGCCGACCAACCATAAGTTCCCTCTTAGTGTGGATTGAGTCTCCTCCCATCTGGCCTTTACAAAATGTCTGTCATGTGTCATATGTCATGCCTAGTGGAAAAAAGATATTTTCAGCTAGTGAAGCTTAAGAGGCTGGGAAACTCCTGCTGTTATGCCAGATTCGTGGGACCCCAATAGACCTACAGGAGCCGAATCTGATGCAATCACACAAGAGTCTTTATTGCAAGCTTGAGCCTGGTCTCACAACCGTTCCTGATGCAGTGGTCCCAGGGAGTGAGTCCCGGTCCTTTGTCCAGTGAGATTTTATAGGTTTTGGGGGGATACACTATGCATCACAACATCACACAGCAAATCATTCCATTCCACAGGAAAGTCAAACAACAACTCTTGACATTGATTAGCACATTCAATGGCGGGAACAATTTGGGTAGGGGTGATTGGTTAGTACAAGAGGGGGTTCCTTTGAACTGATTGGTTTAGGCCACGAGGGGTGTACTTGCTAAACTACATGGTTTCCCAACATGTTATCAACCACCATAAACTACTTGGGGGACATCTGGCATCCCAGGTATTTTCCCTGTCTCATGCTGATTGGAGGTTGCTAGGGGGATTGCTGCAGACCTCTCCTGTTATTTACAGACAAACAACTCAGCTGGGTGGGTATGTGCTTAGGAGTGCTCTGTGGGTTTTTCCAAGGACAAGGGTCATACCCCTTTCCTCAGGACAGGCCTTGAGGAAGAAGCTGCTGTTATTTATTTATTTTCAAAAATGGAGTCATATCAGTTTCTCACTCACTACAGGGTCTCCAAGTCTCTCCTGTCTCTGATGGGGCAGCAGCTGGACTTAGAAAGGAATCGTACCCAGACATGCCACATAACTGGTTTGCACAAACTGAAAGATTTGTTTTTTAACTGCTGTGAAGACCAGTCAAGCTTAGTGAGTTCACTAAATAAGAGGACAGCTCATCAACAACCCCTCCAAAGAGGAAAAAGTGAATGCATCCTCATCATTCTTCCTGTTACTTGTTACATCAGTAGCCTAAATATGGTGATTCAGGAGCTATAACCAAAATTCTTTCTGGGGCACCTTTAAACCTGGTGGTTGGTGGATCCCTTAAAAAATGAAGGTGAGGGAAATGCTCAGAACAGCATGGAGAACCATCAGTCCCTAAAGTCCTGCTGAAAGCCAGCCCAGATGATAGGAAAATTCAGACAAAGACTTTCTATTGAGGAGCCCAATCTAGATCAAGAGGAAGGAAATAACTGTCACGATAGGCAAAAGGTGCAACTTATGCAGTCAAAGGGGAGAAATAAAGAATGTCCATGTGCTTCTGCTCTTTTCAATGCTTTATTCACTCAAATCACTCAATACAATTTCACTCTATAGGTTCTAAATCAAGAAAACGAGAATCCTTAATGCTAGGCACTGTAATAGACGTAATCAATTCACAGCAAACAATTCTAGATTAATTCTAAGCATTGCAAACACACTTAATCATAACAGGCTCATAACAGACATTCCCTCTGCATGCTAAGTTCAAGTGTAAGATCAAAAGTCTCAAAGCCTTAGGCTTTAAGCCCAGCAGATGCACACTCACTTAGACCTTGGTGATCAGATTAGGAACCAAGGCAGGCTTCCCCTGGGATGGAGCTGACTGGTCAAGGAGAGGGTTGGGTGGTAGGGAGAAGTTGAGGCTCTCACCAGGATCAAGATGTGGCTGCAGAGTTTGAGAGCAGTGAGGAAAATGCAGAGGATCAGCAAACGATGAAAAGTGTTGGGATGACAGTCCAGGTCCAGGTCCTGGTCCTCATCAGGCTTTCAGCATGAGGGCATCAGTATCAGCTGGCTGAACATCTGTTCATTTGCTCTATTATTTATACCAAATTTTGGGGCTTTGCCCCCCCCCCCTTCAATCCTTATCAGTTGCCACCAGATCTCCCAGTGACATCACTTACCCTGGGGTTAAAACATCTGGTCTGGTGGTCTCCACCCTGATCTTTTTGCCTGTCCCTCTTATTGGGTGCCTTTCCCTTTTATTGGGCGAGGACAGCCTTCCAGAGGTTTCACTCTGAGTTTATCAGGGTGGGGAGAAGTGACTTGTTTGTGCTTGAGGGCCACACTGGAGGGCTCTGTTAGGCATGCCGGGTGAGACTGCAGGTTTCAGACTGGAGTTTTGGTGTTTTTCTGGTTTTTTTTTGAGTTGCTAAGGCACAGGCCTAAGGCCATCCTCACCATGACCTTTGGGACAGAGAATAAAAATAACTGAATCAGAGCTCCAGACAACCAGGACCAGCACTTTTCCATGGTCAGTAGAAATCCCTAGACCAAATGTCAGGGGTGGTAGTAGATAAGGTAGGTATGTTCCTGGGGATTCTCCTCAAAGGAAATGGTATTGTGAGATTTTTCGAGAGGAAGAGCATCAGTAACTAGCTTTCATATCTTCCTGGATTCACTGTGCTTGTGCCCTTTGTCACCAAGGCAACAAAGAGGTCTGTTTATAGTCAGAAATACACTCTTAGGAAGGCAACTCCCAGACCCGCTGGCTGGGTAGGGCTAATTACCCCCACAGGAACCAGGACATGTTGATTTCAATCTATGAAAAACCACAGCTCCTGTGTTTTTCTACAAAAACAAAAAATAAACATCTTAACTGGACATGGTGGTACATATCTATAATTCTAGCAATTCTAGAAGCTATGAGGCAGGAAGATCACAAGTTTAAGACTAGCCTGGGCAGCTTAGTGAAACCCTGTCTCAAAAAAAGGGGGGGCCAGTATATAGCTCAGTGGTAAAGTGCATCTGGGTTCAATCCCCAGTATAATAGGAAAAAAAAATCGTTTCACCTTTCAAAGAAGCTCAACACATACAAACTGGTGGTAGTGAAACCAGAACAATCTGGGTTGGGACAAGGTTAGACCATTGATCTGTTCATAGTGAAAGGTATGGCAACAAAACTCCCAAATTCCAGACTGCCACAGGAGAGATAATAATACAGTTCTCATGTGCGAGCCTGGCACTTGCCCTTGTGTTTGATCTACATTAGTCACTCCACCTTTATGAGTGCCTTTACCAGAGGGGATGCTAATATTCTAATTTTGCATTAGGAAATGGAGGCTCAGTGAACCCAAGGTCCCTATCTAGAGTGTGGGAGGGCTAACATGTGGACCTGTAGAGCCTAAATATGTGTATGCAGTCACCAGACATTCCTGAAGCTGAATTAAATACCCTCTAGCACAGGTGGAAACACAAAACAAGGACTATCATAACAGGTAGAGAAGCTCTCCTCATCCCAGTAGTCCCAGTAGTCCCAGGCAGTGTAGCCCTAAAGGCAGCAGACATTAAGGTCGGGAGAAAACACCAGAAAGTAAGAGCTTTGAATTTCCTATTTATCTTACCTGCTCATCCCAGAGTTTGAGAAGAGCAGTTCAGAAGGCCCTGGGCCTTCTTCCCAGAACTGAAAGTGTGGGTCTTGTCCATCAGTGCTCACTGGGATCCCTGATTATTCCAGGTCAAACCAGAACTGCTGACATCCCATGTGATATTAGGAGAATTAAAATGGGTTTGTAAATGAGTTTGTAGGGCTAATTAGCCCTCTACACAGCCAGAAATGGTTTGGAATATGGTCTGGATCTTCTAGGAAATGTTTTCCCTCAGGAAAGTACCTGAAGCTTGTGTGAGGAGCCTTAACACTGGTCTGTAAAGGGGAGAGGGGGAGTGGAAAAATAATTGGTGAGCTCTCAGATTTATGAAGAAGAAACCTGAGCTACTTATCTAGACAGTCCTTAGGGGGCTATAGCTTAAAGTTTCTGAGAAACATCAACTCCTCTTCCTTCATCCCCAAGGTCACTGTCCCAGAGCCTGATGAGGTAGGTGGTCTTCTGGTTTGTTTTAGGCCAGCCCTTCCACCTTTCTCAAGGGCACTTCGTAAGACTCCAGTTTTGTGGGAGTGGGCCTCCAGATAGTTCCTACATTGACATCTGGATGGCCTTTGCTCCTTTCCTGACCTTTGAGAGCCTCACAATCCAGTCCTACCACCTAACATCCTCTCTCTACCTCCTTCAACGATCTTGGGCCTCAGAACATACTTGTTCATTTGCCTTTCCAACTCATATGCATCCTTTGAGACCACACTCGCGTGGCCCCTCTCTGAAGCCTGTCCTCGCGATGCCCGCCTCACGCTATCCAAAGGAGAGTACCCCCAATTCGATTTTCAGTGAACATAAAGTCTTACAGGTCTCATGGGTCTCATGCAACATTGCTGCTAGCCCCCTTCCTGCTACAGTTGGCACGCGCCCGACGTGTCTGTCCCTGAGGGCGCATGCGCGGGCGCCCAGCGGCTTCCCCGCTACCCAGATGCTGACGCGTGGACACGAGTCTTCTTCGCGGGCTGGCGGGAGCGCGCGTTTGTTTGGAGGCGCGGCGGGGTGGGGGGCGGTAGTTCAGGGAAGGTGGTGTGCGGCATGCGCATGCGCAGAGGCGGGCGGCAGCGCGAGCCGAGCTGGGAGATGGCGGCGGAGGCGGCGGCGGCGTCTAGAGTGTGAGCACGGCCCGGGAGCCACCGGCCCGGGCGCAGTGCGACCCCGACCCTGCCCGTCCGCCTCCCCATCATGGGCAACGAGGCCAGCTTGGAGGGTGGCGCTGGCGACGGGCCGCTGCCGCCTGGAGGCCCTGGCCCTGGCCCGGGCCCCGGTACAGGGAAGCCTCCTTCAGCACCAGCTGGCAGCGGACAGCTCCCCACGTCGAGCACTACGCGGGCCACCCCAGGACTGCAGGTTTCAGGCGAAGGCCCTGGCAGGTGAGTGCGAGTCTTGGCGTCCTAGGGGAGGGGAGCTGGAGCCTGAGGCTGGGGCCGGGGGCTGGGATCCCAAGATCTAGTGGACAGCAAGGTTGGACGTCTGGCCGCACTTTAAGCCCTGTCAGGTTGGCATGAGCTGGGTGGAGGCGACCCTTCATTTCCAGCCAGTCCGCCTTGGCAAGGCAGGATGGCAAGTCTAGGGTCAGTCGGGTCCTGCAGACCATTACTTCGTCACGAACCCCAAATTCTTTCCCCCCTGACGCCAGGGCCCAACCGCTCAGAAGGGGCTTATGTAACCTTAGCCTGGTCCCTCGGAGCAGGGGAGCAGTGAGATGGAAAACGCCTTCGCTGTCTGCCAGTGTCTGCATGTGTCCATTGTGTTGGGCCAAGGAAAGAGCACAATGGGAGTGGCTGTCAGGGAAGATAAGTGTCACTGCGAAGAACGCAGAGAGATGGAAATAGTTGGACCATGAACTTGGTCTTATGTTTTCCTTAGGCATTTAGCGGCTGTAACCATTTTTGGGGGAAAAAAAAATTGCCCACTGGACACCAGTAGGCCCAACAATACTAACAGGGTCACGTGCTTTCACCAGGGCTTAGTGAATTACTTTCAGGTGAAACAGAAATGCTATTAAATTTTCTAGCACCAGCTATGCTCTTGTTGCCACCTCAAACCAATTGTGGGGGGGGGGGGAAGCTGAAACCCACATAGAATGCTTTAAACAGAACATATCTGATCAAACACTGTGAGACTGCTTGTTTTACGTGTTTGCCAACCCAGAATCTGCAAAACAATCAAGTTGCATTGAATGCAGTGGAATGGAATGTCAATATATAAGTCAGTAGACTAAAAACTCTGGAAAACTACCTAAGATCTATGCAGGATAAAATGGAAGGCATTATTTTATACCAAATAATTCTGGGGAGTAGCAATCCCCCCTTGGGGGGTGTTTCTGGTCTATATGAGGCTGCTGATTAATGTTTTTTTGCCTTTTCTGTGTGGGAGCACATAAATTCTGAGGGAGCATAATTTTTGCTTCTTCAGCTGCCCAACTGTGTCTCTTACATGTTTATTTCCTTATGTGTGTTCTTAGACAACTAACAGTGGTGAAAGGCTCTTAGTAGCCTGAAACCTGTCATAAACCAAGCCAGCCTGTGAGCATCCTTTTTAGAAGTGGAATTTGTCCATTTTACATTAGCTGTTAGAGTAATGCAACTGGATAGCACATGGCTCTTAGCACAGCAAATGCTGTCCATCTTGCTGCATGTTGAGTTACTGTTTGGGTTTTAGCTTGAGGGAGACTTACCCAAGCTTCAGTGCTCTCCCTCCAAGAAAAAGCTTCTACATCTGAATGGAAAAACACCTTGTTACTGGGAGCTCTCTATGTGAGGAATTTCCCATTTCTCTTTTGGAAACCAGACAGGATGCTCTGCTTGTAGTTTATCAGATGTTGCAGAGCCAAACATGAAATTTTGGAAAGATTTGGGCAGCTTAGAGGCAGATATATACTGCTCATATTTCTTTCCATTGTCTCATTTCTACTCCATCTATGCATTCTGCTTCAGGGCAGATCCATAGATTGCTATGGGTGAGGGGCACCTTGGAATCTTGCTAGATTTAGCAGTCACACAATTTCTCACCTGGCTGTGGGCAAGGCTCACACAGGGGCCTTGGTGCTAAGGTCCCGTGACTATCAGGCTTAGGAGGTAAACTAGCTCTTTGTCACCAAAGCTAAGGACTGGGGACCCTTAGGAGACAGAATTTACTTTTTCCAGCTGATATTTGGCATATCCCAGACTCTCAGCTGAGCTGCATGGTCTGTCTTTCTCTCAGTATAGGAATGGCTACTTCCTCTCACCAGAGCATCTCAGGTACCTGATACCAAATTTAGTATATTCTGTTCTGAGATGCTGCTGAACATTGTTGGAGGAAAAATCCCTGTGACATGTGCCTCTGGGCATTCAGGAAAGAGCATTGGCTCAGAAACATATTTATTTCTAGCAACACTGTAGATTTTGGATCAGTCAGAAAGCTCAAGGAGGTAGGTAGAGGGTCAGGTAAAGGGGTGATCATTTTTCTAACCCCAGAAGGGAACAAACAGGTTCTGAGGGAGTTGAATCCTGGTTCTTTCCTACTTCCATATTACATCTTGTCATCCCAGGCTGAATTAGTCTTTTCATCCTCATACTGAGATGACTTGGCTGTGTGAGGGGGTGGCCCCAGCATTTGCTGCTGAAGAGCTTAATCTGAACCCCATAAGTAGCAGTGCTACCACACCTATAGTATTGCCTCTTAGCCCATTTGGATGATAGGGAGCTTTGGCCACTGGGGTCCAAAGGAAGGGCTTTCTGTTTCTGGTTTTAGGGTCAATACATGCAGTTTTATAGACTACTTTTCTCAAGGAGTGCCAGATTAGGAGAAGGCTAAACTCTGTTTCAGGTTTTACTCTCAAGCTCTATTCCCTGGTGTGGGCTGCATCCTCTTAGAGGAAGAGGTATCTTTCATTCATTCATTCATTTCTTCATTTATTTATGGAGATGTGCCTAATGTATGGTGGGGTGCACAAGTTGATGGAATTTTACCTATACATACACCCATGACACATTACCAGTTCAAGATATAACCTTATCTGTACCCCAGAAAGTGTCTTTTTAAAAATTTACTGAAGGGCTGGGGATGTGGCTCAAGTGGTAGCATGCTTGCCTGGCATGCTTGCGGCCCGAGTTTGATCCTCAGCACCACATACAAACAAAGATGTTGTGTCTGCCGAAAACTGAAAAATAAATATTAAAAAAAAATTCTCTCTCTCTCTCTCTTAAAAAAAAAAATGTACTGAAGAGCGATATAGACCAGTGGCAGTCTGTATAGTATACACCGGTCCTGTGGATTTGAATATGTTTTGACATCTGCAAATTGATCTACAGTCAATTAGCTAAGGAATGTTTACCAGCTATCAGGATCAAGCATTTCATGGAGGTTCTGGAAGGATATATGGTAACTTCTCTATCCTCTAGTACTCAGAGTCTGTTGATCAGATAGCTCTTGAAGAGCCAAATTGTGGAAGAGCTCTGGGAGAGACTGTGGGTACCTTAGAGTCTGAGAAATGTCAAATAGGCAGTTTTCGTTGTTGTTGTTTTTTGGTCCTGGGGATTGAACTCAGGGGCACTCAACCACTGAGCCACAACCCCAGCCCTATTTTGTATTTTATTTAGAGACAGGGTCTCACTGAGTTGTTAGTGCCTCACTAAGTTGCTGAAGCGGGCTTTTTAAAAAAAAATTTTATACCTTTATTTTATTTATTTTTTTGTGGTGCTGAGGATCGAGCCCAGGGCCTCACATGCACTAGGCGCAGGATCTACTGCTGAGCCACAACACTAGCCCCCTGAGGCTGGCTTTGAACTCGTGATCCTCCTGTCTCAGCCTCTTGAGCTGCTGGGATTACAGGTGTGCACCACTGTTCCCAGCTCAAATAGGCAGGGTTTTTTTTTTTTTTTTGAAAATTTTTTTTAAATGTTGATGGACCTTTATTTTATTCATTTATTTATATGCTGAGAATCAGACCCAGTGCCTCACACATGCTAGGCAAGTGCTCTACCACTGAGCCACAACCCCAGCCCTAAATAGGCAGTTCTTACAGAAGGATTGTCAAGTAGGAAGAGTGGAGAGGCAGAGCTAGGCTTCAGAAGAGGGAGAGACCCAGGGTTAGCAGAGGTAGAAATAGAGAGAAATTAGATAAGAAGTGTGGTACACTGGCAGGAATAATGAATAGAGAATGAGACTGAGTTCAGGAGGCTGGGAAAGAGTTGGGGCAAAGCCAGGTAGAACCATTTTTCTCTCATTGCCCATTATGATTGACTCAGTTCTAGACTGTATGCTATGGAGACATCTTGAGCCAAAGTCAGCTGGGCACAGAGAATCTGGTCATTTGCTGGAAGGTGGGCAAGGCTGCTCTGAGAACCACACCAAAAGTTCCTTCCTCAAAATGGATTTATCAGACATGTTGTCTTTGGTCTGGGATTGTCCTTATTGCTTTATCAGATAACTATCAGGCTCTAGAAAAATATGGGATGAATTTGTAAAGAAAATGAAAAGAGGGCTGAGGTTGTGGCTCAGCGGTACATTGCTTGCCTAACATGTGTGAGGCCCTGGGTTTGATCCTCAGCACCACATAAAGAGAAATAAATAAAGGTATTGTGCTCATCTACAACTGAAAAAAAAAAAAGAAAGAAAAGACCCAAATTCAGGGTTTGTAAAAAAAGATCCTTTATCATTTAGAGATCTTGTTTGACCACAGTGGCTGGGTTTTCAGGGAGGGCATGACATACACTAAAGTGATTTCACATTTGAGTGGTCATGATGTTAAAATTTTAGCCCAATCCAACCACTTTTGCATTTTTTTCCCCTCTTCCCTCCTCTACACATCTTGGTAGTAGGGATTGAACCCAGGGCCTTATGCATGCAAGGCAAGCAATCTACCACTGAGATACATCCCCAACCCTTTTTAAAATTTTATTTTGAGATAGGGTCTCACTAAGTTATCCAAGCTGGCCCCAAACTTGTGATTGTCTTGACTCAGCCTCCTGAATAGCTGGGATTGTAGCCATGTGCCTGCTTACCCAGCCATTTTTACATTTTTTTTTTTTTTTTTGTGTGTGTGTGTGGATTGAACCCAGGGCCTTGTGCCTATAAGGCAAGCACTCTACCAACTGAGCTATAACCCCAGCCCCATTTTTGCATTTCTTGAAAGGGTAGCTTTGGTAAAATAGTTGTTCTCAGCATTAGTATGACTGATAAGATGCTGTTGATTAAAAAAATTATAATGGAGAGACTAGGAAGGGAGAGGAGATATATGTATGTGTTTATATATGTGTGTATATATAAATATCTATCTTTATATATTTACTATGGAAAATTTCAAACATACATAAAAGAATAGTCTAATAAACTCCTGTGTTCCCATTGCTTAGCCACAGCTATCATGAACTCAAGGCAAATCAAATTTTATCTATCTCCCTTACCCCCCACTTGCCGCAGAAGCAAATTCCAGACATCCCAACATTTCATCATCAGTATTTCTAAGAAAAAATGGCTTTATAAAAATATAACCACAATATCATAATTACATTTAAATAGTTACTAATTTCTTCTTTTTTTGTGTGGTGCTTGGAATGGAACCCAGGGCCTCATGCATACTAGGCAAGTGCTTTCCTCTGAGCTTCATCCCCAGGCCAAAAATCTCTTCTTCTTCTTTTTTTTTTTTTCTTTATTAAATTATTTATTTATTCTAATTTGTTACACATGATGGCAGAAGCAATTCATTTCACATTACACATATAGAGCACAAATTTTCAAGTCACTGGTTGTACACAACAATTCCTTCCTTTTTTTTTTTTAAGGGGAGGGAGAGAGAGAGGGAGGGAGGGAGGGAGAGAGAGAATCTTTTTTTTGTTGTTGTTTTGGTAGATGGACACAACACAATGCCTTTATTATGTGATGCTGAGAATCAAACCCGGGTCCCGCCCGTACTAAGCGAGCGCTCTACCACTGAGCCACAATCTCAGCCCCCAACAATTCCTTCTTAATCTCAGCAAATACTCAGTCCTGTTTCCATTTTTCTGTGTTTCTGTGTCTTATGACATAGAAAAATGTCTTATTTTTATAGTGGTTTTTTTTTTTAAATTGCAATGCATTTGTCTGATACATCTCTATTTAAATCTAAAGGTTTCCTCTCCTTTTTTTCCCTTGAAATTTGTGTCTTAGAGAACTATGTCAGTCGACATGGTAGTGTATGTATGTAATGCCAGAAACTCAGGAGGCTGAGGCAGGAGATTGTAGGTTCAACAACTTACTGAGACCCTGTCTTAAATTTTAAAATAAAAATAAAAATAAAACAGGGCTGGGATGTAGTTCAGTGGTAAAGCACCCTTGGATTCAATTCCTATTACACAAAAAGAGAGAGAAAGTACAAAACAAACAAACAAACAAACCCAAAAAACCCCTACAGAACAGTTTCTTTTAATCTGGACTGTGCTGACTGCATCCCTGTGATGTTTCTCTGTCCATATTTTTCCTGAAAACTAGGAATTAGAAGCTATTTGATTCACATCATCATTATCACTATTATTATTGTTATTATCCTTTTTGTGGTACTCAGGATTGAGTCCAATGTCTCACACATGCTAGGCAAATGCTCTACTGAAGCCCATATTTCTTTACTAGGGATTGAATCCAGAGGCATTTACCCACTGAGTCACTTCTCCAGCCCTTAAAAAAATTTTCTTAAATATTTTTTTAGTTGTTGATAGGCATTTATTTATTTATTTATTTATATGTGGTGCTGAGAATTGAACCCAGTGCCTCACATGTGCTAGGCAAGTGCTCTACCACTGAGCTACAAGCCTAGCCTTTCCCCACCCCCTTTTATTTTTTATATTGAGACAGTGTCTCACTAGGTTACTTAGGGTCTCACTAAGTTGCTGAAGCTGGCTTTGAACTTTCGATCCTCCTGCCTCAGCCTCCTGAGCAGCTGGGATTACAGGTGTGTGCCACCATGCCCAGCTGGTTCTGAGGCAAAGTTTTTAGGAGCTCCTAGAACATGTCATCCCTCTCTGTATATGTGAGTAGGATTCTGCTAGAAGATAGTATTGGAGTACTTTAATAAATCTTCCCCTTCTCACCTGTCTTGCATATCTGAATGGGGCCCTTTCCTCTTGTGAGGGTTGGGAAGGGCCAGACCCTGCTGTGTGTGAGTTACTTGGGGGGAATCTGTTCTTGGATACTGTAGGCTATGTGCTATTAAGTTGGTGCTGACTGTGTAGGTAGACTGATAAAACTGCTGTTACTACCATTACTGTGATGACTGTTTCATCATAGATATTAGGTGTTTTATTTCTCACTCTACTTGTCAGGCCTTGAAGTTCCTACAAGTCCCATCTGTCCTGGACTTACTTGTTCTTCCTTCCTGATAACTAACTTGTTAAATGGTGAAATGGTGGCTGAGACCTGCATTCCTACAGCAAGGACTAAGTGTCACTTTAGGATGTGAGGCCTTCCTGCTAAACTGGG